CAACATCACATGTTCTGTCAGATATCCTGTGGATGGAGGGAAACGTAACAAGACAGCAGAAACTAATCTGACTCTCAGTGTTTCCTGTAAGTGATCCTGTCGGCTCGTGGTGCTTCAGCTGTTTCTGATCAATAAACTTCATGTGTCCCGTTTTCCTCAGATGCTCCTAAAAACACCTCAGCATCCATCAGTCCATCAGGTTTGGTGTCAGCAGGTAGCTGGGTGGAGCTGAGCTGCTCCAGCAGAGCCAAGCCTCCTGTCAGAACCTTCACCTGGTTCAGGAACACCACAGGTGGATTTACTAATGTTTCTGAGGTACAGGTTTACAGATTCAACGCCACTGAGAGAGGAGAGTTTTACTGTGTGGCTACAAATAATCTGGGTAACCAGACATCACCTGTGATCCGTGTCATTGTTAAAGGTAAATATTTTCCTTCACTTAATCTGATCAATAAACCTCAAATCATCTGGACAGTTTTCACCAACTCCTTCATTTATTTTGTGATTAAAGATTTTTCATTTATTTTTTTGTTTTTGAGGTCCACCGAATAAATCACATACATCTCTACCCTTGCCACTGATTATTGGAGGAATAAGTGCAATAATTTTGCTGATTGTGCTTATTTTGTGAGTATAATAGTAACTTCTAATAGTATCTGTATGGTAGTAAAATATCTGAAAAAGTTTTGGTACCAAACACAGCCTGGCACTTCTAGATAGCTATTACCAAATAATACCTATGGGGTATATGTTTGTTAATTTTTAGACACATACCTGTTATTTAGAAGGTACATATCAGGTTCTTACCATCTACAAACAGGGTATTTACATGTATGTACCTATGTGGTCTTTATTRGGTGCTTACCTGGTACTTAATGGGTACAAACCTTGTAATTACAGAGCACCTTCCAGGATAATACATAACTTGTATGTACAAGATACTTACATAACTGGTACTTATAGAGTGCCTAACAAGTAAGTCTAAAAGGTACTTATTGTGTATGTACTCATTACTGAATAGGTACATATTTACTGGGTATTTACCTAGTTCTAATCAGGTATGAACCTGGTTTTTACCAGGTTTCAACTTGTACTTACTGACTACCTACCAGATTTGCMTGTGGCACTGGTATCTAGTATTAACTGTGTATACACCTAGTACTTATTCAGTACATACCTTCTACTTATTGGGTACATACCTGATATATACACACTGCCTACCAGATTTGTACTTATTGGGTACACACCTAATAATTATTGGGTACATACCTGATACTTACAGACTACCTACCAAATTCACATCTGGTACTTACTGAGTAATTACCTAGCACTTATTGGGTACATACCTACATGCTRCCTACAAGCTACCTACCAGATGCATGCCTGTTACATATTGGGTGCATATTTAGTACTTTTTAGGTACATAACCTCTACTTATTGAGTACATACGTATATATATTACCTACTAGATTTGCACCTGGTACTTATTTGGTGCACACCTAGTATTTATTGGGTACATACCTGGTACTTAGAGACTACTTATCAGTTATGCACAGGGTACTGGTACATAGTACCTATTAGGTACACACATTGTAATTTTTGGGTATATATCTGGTTCTTACAGGCTATCTATGAGATGTGCACGTGGTACTGGTAACTATTATTTGTTAGATACGTATATTCTACTTATTGTGTAAGTACCAGGTACTTACAGGCCTACCAGATATTCATCTGGTAATTATTGGGTACACACCTCAGATTTATTGGGTACATACCGTATCTGGTACTTGCAGGCTATCTACCAGATATGCACCTGGTACTTATTGAGTAAATACCTAGTACTTATTAGTTACATACCTACCTGCTACCTACAGACTACCTACTAGATATACACCTGGTACATATTGAATACACACCTAAGTAACAGGTATAGACCAGATAAGTGACTTGTAGGTATCAGATGCAATTTAGCTGGTAGCAGGTACGTATATGAGTATTATGAACATACTCTATAAGTACCTGGCTGAATTATGCATTGTTACCACGTTTTCTTTATTTTTTTTTTTTTTTGGAGTCTTCGGGGCTGGAACATAAACATATTTAAATTGAGGTGTTTTTGTTGTATTTTACAGAACTATCATGTGTTTGAGACGAGCAAAGAACAGAAATCCWTCTGTGCAACAGCCACAGGTGAGAAAGTACTAAACGCAGTAAGATTACAGCTTATGAAATGTTTCTTCATGACCTGAAGTGTGAAGAAACAGGAAATCTGAAAAAAAAGAGAAAAATACTTATTTCACTTCTGTTTTTTTACGTAAGCTTCCTGTTTGTTTACAGGATCAAACCAGCAAAGAAGAASGAGTTCAGAGGTCCGCAGAAGAAAAAGAAGAGGAAGAAATCCATTACGGAGAATTTAAATTCTCTAATCAAGCGTCTAACTCGCGYTCCAGCACCACACCTGAACAGGATACCRTCTACGCCCAAGTTAAYGTGTCTGCAAAGCCCTCACTGAAGACCGCTGCCGGTCCTGAAGATCTCTACGCACAAGTTAACGTGTCTGCAAAGCCCTCAACGAAGACTGTTGCAGGTCCTGAAGATCTCTACGCAGAAGTCAAGAAGAAATGAGTTCTGTTGTTTGGATACAATTTGTT